TTGGGACATGTCAATTACTGAGACAGGTCAACTACTGGGACATGTCAATTGTAGAGGCATGTTAACTAATGGGACATGTAATGTCCATTCATGTAATGTCCATTCAGTAAATGGAGATTTGGGATCTGTGGGGCCCCAAAATTTGAATTTGGGAGCTATGGTGCCCCAAAATTCGAATTTGGGATCTGTGGTGCCCCAAAATTCGAATTTGGAAGCTATGTTTGCCCAAAATTCGAATTTGGGATCTGTGGTGCCCCAAAATTTGAATTTGGGATCTGTGGTGCCCCAAAAGTTTAATTTGGGATCTGTGGTGCCCCAAAATTTTAATTTGGGATCTGTGCCCTAAAATTTGATTTTGGGAGCTGTGGTGCCCCAAAATATACTACGGACAGACGGACGCCAAAGTGAAACTATAAGGCTTTCGGCCATGGGCCACGAAACCCTAAAAAAGGGTGAATCATGGCTGCAAAGTCTTGTTCATGGTTTAAGGCTTGGTCTTGGCTCAAGACTTGGTTTTGGATCAAATCTTGTTTATGGATCAAGACTTGATCGTGGCTCAAGACTTGGTTCAGAATCAAAGCTTGTTCATGAATCAAGGAATGGTCATGGATCAAGACTTGATCATGGATTAAAGATTGGTCATGGCTCAAGGATTGTTCATGGATCAAGACTTGATCATGGTTCAAAGCTTGTTTATGGATCAAGTCTTAATCCATAAACAAGATTTGAACCAGAACCAAGCCTTGATTTAGGACCAAGTCTTGAGCCATGAACAAGCCTACAGCCATGATCAAGCCTTGATTCAGGACCAAGTCTTGAGCTACGATTAAATCTTGATCCATAAACAAGATTTGAGCCAGAACCAAGCCTTGAGCCATAATCAACCCTTGAGTTTATCCAAAATGTTTATCGAAAAATACTAACAGAGGGTCTTCAGCAACAATATGGCCATGCAAACGATTCTAGGATTAGAGAAGCTGCTCACAGCATGTGTTCATTGGCTTTTGTACCTCCTGCAGACATTCCGGACGTATTTGACAGTTTCTATAATAATGCTCGAGAAGATTTCCTCCCGATTGCAAATTATTTCGAAATTAATTACGTACGTGGTGTACGAACTATAGGAAGAAGAAAAGCGGTGAAAGTGCTTTATGAACCAAATCTTTGGAATCATTACAACTTTGTGCTTCAGGGTACAGCGCGTACTAACAACGCATCGGAGGGTTGGCACAACCGGTTCCAAATATTAGTTGGAAGAAGCCATCCAAGTCTCCATAATTTTTTAACCGATCTACAGACATAAATAAATAATTTCAAAACCTATTTTGGACATTTCTTCCTTTGACTATTCACTTTTGGATTTTTCTTCTTTGGACTTTAGTGTTTTGGACTTTTTTTCTTGGACATTTCGGTCAGGACTTTTTGGATTGGATTTTTTGTCCTGTAATCCCCTACTGTATTTTAATTTTCTTAAAAAATTTCTATTCTTCAATAAAAATGGTTGAAAAAGCGTATTTTTTAGTCGGGTCAAAGAGGTGTACCCACTTACAAATTTTTTTAAAAAATGAAAAAAGACTCTCATGTACGTTTACCTCCACGCGGTGAGATACGGACAACGTTTAATTAAATTGACTGCTAAAGAACGTACTCACACAGCACCCAAAATTCCCTGAAACTTGACAGAACCTCACACGGCGAGGTTAGGAAACTTCAGTGGCAAGGTTCATACAAGTTTGTGTCGATGTTTAAATGTCCACATGAAAAGAATATTTACACGAAACTTTGAGGGCATATTACACTTTAAATATTTACGTGCAATGTTCAGCCAATGTTGTGTCAATATTAACCTATACTTATTATATTAGTAAACGAAATTTTTATAACTAGGCGAAAATGTAATGTCAATATTGACACAACATTGACTGAACATTGCACGTGAATATTTATAGTATAATATTTCCTCAAAGTTTCGTGTGAATATTCTTTTCATGTGGATATTTAAACATCGACACAAACTTGTATGAACCTTGCCACTGAAGTTTCCTAACCTCGACATGTGAGGATCTATCAAGTTTCAAGGAATTTTGGGTGCTGTGTGGGTAGTAACTCTTAAAATTGAATAAGATAATAAATCTTTAACATTTGAAATCCGACAAATTTGATACGCGTATAGTTTATAATTCGAATTAAAACTTTAAAATGATTATTAAATCAACAATTTTAATTGATTATTATACTTTATATGATAAATAATACGATAGAAACAATTTCTTAAAATACGGCTTAAGTCGACTTAGGGGCCGTCCATTAATTACGTGAGCAAAAGTTAGGCGGGAAAGGTCTGTCAAAATCTCATCTAACAATAAGTGGAGGGGGGTGTCAATCAAAATCTCACGTCAACTTTCTAATTTAGTAATTTTTTTTGCAAAAGTCAAATGCACAACCTGAACTATGTTCAGATCTTAAAGAATCGTAGCAGCAGGGATGAGTACTGCTCACATGGGACTGTACCCTAAAAGCTCAGTTAAAATTACATAGGCCAGTCAATAAAGACAAAAAGTGCCATTAAATGTAGTCAGGCTGTTCTAAACGGATTTTGTTAGTGTGGGGGATAGTATGAAAGCCCCATAGTTTGCTCTCGATTTCTGGTTGCAGAAAATGTTATAAATAAACATCAAAGTTGGCGAAAGGTGGTTTTTTGGTGCTCGTTACTTTCCTCTACATTTTAGTGGAAAAAGTTGTTATTAAGAAAGAAAGATATAAAAAATACCTACAAAATGGTGGGTCGAAAGTTAAAATCGGATTATTTTTTAATTGTTTAAATTCAATAACTTTTAAACAAATAATCGGATTTTAACTTTCGACCCGCCATTTTGTAGGTATTTTTTTATACCTTTCTTTTTTAATAATAATCTTTTCCACTAAAATGTAGAGGAAAGCAACGAGCACCAAAAAACCACCTTCCGTCAACTTTGATGTTTATTTATAACATTTTCTGCAACCAGAAATTGAGAGCAAAATATGGGGCCTTCATACTATCCCTCACATTACTGAAATCCGTTTAGAACAGCCTAATTACATTTAATGGCACTTTTTGTCTTTATTGACTGGCCTACAATGATAATGACGATAATAGAGGTGGCGATTGCAGAAACTCTGAAGCTGAGCTAGACCTGATGAACACGAGAACGGATGCGATATCAACGTAATTGCAATTTATTAGTAGTGATACACTATCTGATTTGTACGTTTACAGAAGTATACAACAATATTTACTTTCAACATATGTGCAATATTTGACGATTTAATACTTCACTAGAAATGTTTGATTTATTAATTATAATTGAGGGATGTTTTCTAAATATTGATAATATAATTGTTTAAAATAGTAATGGAAGAAAATGAAAATTAAGAATCTATTATTAGAATATTAATAGAAGTACCTACAGTATTTCTAAATAAAAAGTATGTTAACATATAAAATTAATTTAATTTATTTATATTTTAGATCTATTTCACTGCATGTCTTTAGATAATAAGTTTCATTGAAATACATAAATTATTTTAAAATTCGACCGCCATATTGGATCTGCCATTTAAAATTTTTAATAACCGACTTCAGATTCGTAATCAGCGACTTTAAAAACCCTTAGATAGCAAGTTTCAGAAAACAGAAACTGAGAGATTAGTTTTGTCCACCTAGTTTTTCTATTTAGCCACCTGTGATACGGTAGCATCTTAGTATCAAAGTAATTTAAATCACAATTAATTTAATCTAAGATAGAGAACGTCATGTATATGAGAGATTCTTTTTCAATCGCCCCAGCCCAAAAAGTCAATGTTCTGGGATTGGCTTCATACTTTGGTAAATTGTTGTCCTATATGATAGTAATAAATCCCTAAAATATAAACTAATTAAAAAAATATTTGTAGAAAGTAGAGGGGGTTGAAGTTTTGACGTTAAGTGTAACATTGTCATTTTCAAATCCGTTTAACTATGACAAAAGTTAATGGATTTTAATTTATCTATAATGAATTTTATTGCATTTTTCACGTACTTTTCAAAAATGTATACGAAATTTAAAAAAAAAAATTTTTAACCCCTTTTTTTTCAAAATCAACCCTTATTTTTCGATTTTCACCCCTTCGGGTATTTTTTTTTTTTTTTTTATTTTCATTGGAAAGCTGAGGTTTTTTCCCATGAGCTATGTAAATATGAAAATGGGACAACAATAATTTTGTGAGAAACATAATATTAAATTAGGCGGTGCCTATCTAAATCCTCAAAGATGATCTCCAGGTACACCCCTTATCGGCACCGCCTAATTTAATATTATGTTTCTCACAAAATTATTGTTGTCCCATTTTCATATTTACATAGCTCATGGGAAAAAACCTCAGCTTTCCAATGAAAATAAAAAAAAAAAAAAAAATACCCGAAGGGGTGAAAATCGAAAAATAAGGGTTGATTTTGAAAAAAAAGGGGTTAAAAATTTTTTTTTTTAAATTTCGTATACATTTTTGAAAAGTACGTTAAAAATGCAATAAAATTCATTATAGATAAATTCAAATCCATTAACTTTTGTCATAGTTAAACGGATTTGAAAATGACAATGTTACCCTTAACGTCAAAACTTCAACCCCCTCTACTTTCTACAAATATTTTTTTAATTAGTTTATATTTTAGGGATTTATTACTATCATATAGGACAACAATTTACCAAAGTATGAAGCCAATCCCAGAACATTGACTTTTTGGGCTGGGGCGATTGAAAAAGAATCTCTCATATTTTTCTTAACATACAAAATTTCTACTATGTTATAAATTTATTCAAGAATGCAATATATTTTCCTTTTTCCTGGGACGAATATTATTCAAAATTATTAATGAAATTTATCTAAGATCAATATTATCAGAAATCGACTTTCATCAGAAATAGCGTTTTCGACGATAATTTAAAGAAATAATCGTATAATTTAAAATAAAAAGAGTTACTCACCCAAGAACTCCTTTTTCAGGAAGTAGCTCTTCCTCAACTATAATAAGCTGAGCTATTTCTTCATCAGTTAAATTCTGATTCGGAATCTCTTCACTATTTTCGTCTTTTGGTTTGTCTGGCACTTCTTCAATAATTTCTATTCTTTCTTCAAAACTTTCCTCAACAATTTCTTCCTCGGGGGGGTCTTCAATTACAGGCTCTGCCGTTAACTTTGTTAAAATCTCTTCCAGTGGTTGAAGAGGTGGTAAATCATCCAACTAAAAATTTATTAAATTAAATATCTGTGCTAACTGATAAATTAAATAAGGCACCCGTAGGGTAAAAAATTATGATTTATTGTTAGTTCTGTTTATTTACTTTATTTATTAAATCAAATTTCAGTAATATCCCGGTTATTCTAACCTTAAAAAATTTAAAGTTAACTTAATTACAAGCTGAAATAAATTACAATTGATACTGCATCATTATACATTTAAACTAAATATATTATTCAAGAGATTCACGGTAAAACGAAAGGTATGAATTAAATACTTACTTTAGGTAAGTACTAAATTGTCATTTGGTTCTATTTTTATACCTAAAATCGGTACTGTTTTAGTACTATTTTTTTACAGTGTAGTACAGAAACTAAAAACAAGGTGTTCATTTCATGACCATATAATTTCCTCATCATGAACACTTATATTCAAGATTAAAAGAAATATTACGATTAAAATAGCGATCAATTTTATAAATATTCATAAAATGTGAAGTTTATATACATCAATCGATTCGTTTTCATACCAGGAATACAATTTTAACAAGAATTAATTAAAATTTCTATATAAGAAAAAGTTATTTTAAAAAATATAAAAAACTATTTTTTTCAAAAAATCAAAAAAATGATTTAATCTTTAGATTTCACTAAAATATGAACATTATATAGGTTAATCGATTCGTTTTAATTCAAGAAACAAGTTTTTTTATGAAACAAAATTAAATTTACAATGAAAAAAATTTTTTGAAAAAAAAAATTTCAAATTTTCAAAAAATTGTAAAAAAACAAAAATTTTTGTGAATATACTTGAAAATCCTCGAGTCATATTTCAGGTATTAATGACTGCATTAAGCATACAAAATTTCAGGACAATCCGTCAAAACGTTTCTGAGATAATTTGTACACAATATTTTGTGACATACACACACACATACATCTGGACATTTGCTCACAACTTCAAATATATTAATTCTAGATGAAAATGAGTTCATATAACCTTCATTTGAAAAATTGAAAATCTTCCTCATGAGGAAGCAAAAATACAAGTTTTTAGCAAGATGCAATTAGACTTACATTTATTGAGTATGGCTCAATTTCGTCTTTTGTAATTGCCTCCACGAGTGTTTCCGTATCTTCTACCCTGTGGATAAAAGACAAATAAGAATAAAGATAATAATTTTCTGAATCGTTTAAAGATGCACCCTTGATAACACATGAAATGTGTTTCCTACTCTTTTGTATATATGAGGTATTTCATTGAAAACGATAGTCGATGTCACAAATTTTATTGTCTTTCTAGTAATTAATAGTGATATTATTATGGTAATAAATAAGTACAGTTAAACCTGGGTAAATGATAATCCAATTCACAGAAAAAATCTTAAACTGAAATTAAGAATAATAATCCACGAATATATTCTTAATTCCAGTTTACGGTTTTTTCTGTGAAAGGACCGAGAATTTTTTTATTATGTACTTATAATAGGTTTTTCACTAATATCTATAAGTTATATATAGAGATTCTACTTTTAACAATGGCCTTTCTATAGGAATATTCGATTCAAGGTGAATATTCGATTCGATCTATAGGTATTCACTAAGAAAAAAGGCGTACCCTATTACGTATATTACAACTAATACGTGACTATTACATTAGTATTATCCCAATATGTCATATTACCAAAATATTACAGGAATATTACATTATATTCCAGGTGTAATACTGGGTATTTTGGATGAAATAAATAAATACTACACATTTAATCATAATTATACCGTAAAATGAGGTAAAGTCGGCGTTAGGGGAAAAGTCGGCAATTATTACAAATTAATTTTAAAAATTTCATTCTATTTTTTCATTAGGCAACATTAAAAGCTTAACGAAAACAAAAATCATAATTATGGCACTCGATGTAAAAAAGAGCTACAAAATAAATATATTGGAAACATTTTTCGGTTTGTTTTATAGGAACTATAAATTTTTTAAATATGCCATGCAAAACAAAAAGTCCGAACTTTGACCACCTCTAGATTTTACAGTTGTTTAAATAAATTAGTAATATTTGGTATTTTTAATTGTATCTAATAGGACTACAAATTGTGCAAGTTTTTAACCTGGTCCGAGACATTTAAAATTTCGACCCCGATCACTTCACATGGAGTGCCACAATTATGAATTCTTTTCAATAAAAATAATAAAAATTATACATTAAACACATAAATAATAAATATTAAAAGCAAATCTAAGGATTTTAAAAATAATAGGGAAAATAATGCATTTTAATAAGATAATATATATATGTATATATATTAAATATCTGAATTTTGAAAAGTAATTAAAATTTGCGCACTTTGACATCCTGACATTCAACAGACCACTAGAAAATGTGTCGAAAGAGCACATTTTTTTTATTTTTGAGGAGCGCTAAGGGTTGAAATTGAACAAAGAATACAAATATTCTCCTATTTCAAAATTAACGATTGGAATTTTTCTAAAAATTAAAATTGGTAGCACTTTTAAGTCATGCCATTCAAAAGAAATCTAAAATATGTGTCGAAAGCGTCCACATATTTTCATTTTTGAGGAGCCCTATACCCTATTGAAAATTCCTGTGAAGGAACACACATAGGATCCTATTTCGAGTTCCTTCGTAAGTTCCCTCGTATGTTCATATGTGGTTTACCACACAGGATCTTTTACAAAAGGATCCTGTAAGAAACTTGTGTGTGAACCAGCATGGTTTCCCAGATGTTGAAAATAATTACAACAGGGGATCTCACGATTTTTCCTGTTATATAAATGTTATAGAAAAGTGTTCCTTCACACTACCCTTAAAGTGTTCCTAAATAGGTTCCTGCATGGTAACCTTAATAAGATTATTTACAAATTTGTACGTGCCTTTTTGTTGCTAAATAATGTGTGTTCCTACGTGGTATCGTTTGAAGTTTCTTTCACAAATTCGTACGTACCTTGCTCTTGCCCACACAGCACCCAAAATTCCCTGAAACTTGACAAAACCTCACACGGCGAGGTTAGAAAACTTCAGTGGCAAGGTTCATACAAGTTTGTGTCGATATTTAAATGTCCACATGAAAAGAATATTTAAACGAAACTTTGAGGGAATATTACACTATAAATATTCACGTGCAATGTTCAGTCAATGTTGTGTCAATATTCACCTATACTGATTATATTAGTAAACGAAATTTTTATAACTAGGCGAAAAGGTGTCAATATTGACACAACATTGATTGAACATTGCACGTGAATATTTATAGTACAATATTTCCTCAAAGTTTCGTGTGAATATTCTTTTCATGTGGATATTTAAACATCGACACAAACTTGTTTGAACCTTGCCACTGATGTTTCCTAACCTCGCAGTGTGAGGTTCTGTCAAGTTTCAGGGAATTTTGGGTGCTGTGTGGGTGGCAAGTAGTGTGTGTTCCTACATGATATCCTTTAAAGTTTCCTTCATTAGTTCGTACCTACTGTACTCTTTATTAGTGTGTTACTATGTGGTATCCTTTGAAGTTTCTTTCACAAGTTCCTACGTACCTTTCTCTTGGTAAATAACATGTGTTCCTACGTAGAAAATTTTAAAGTTTCCTTAACGAGTTCATTATACATCGTTACTAGTATATCTCAAGTAGAAATGTGCCACTGGCATAGTACTGACCCAACACTATAACACTATAACAGTACTGACTGCCGTACTGGGCCAGTAGTGGGCCAGCCCTGGCTAATAACGCTGTCCAGTACTGATTTTGTCCCGCTCACCAGTATAACGTAGTACTTGAATAATACTGGTAAAGTACTCATCCGGAGTTAAAATCTCATTTTTTTACAAAATGCTATATAATACTCTTTCCATTGCAAATTTCATCCTTATAAGCTTATTACTCCCAGTTTTACCACGAAAAGGTAATGTGAGGGTAATTATACACGGAAAGACTTTGTGCATCACTTTCTGGCAAACTTGCCAAGAGATTTTAGTAAACTCGCGACCAAACTCGGAAAAAATGGAAAACTATCATTTTATATAAATCTTTTCAACAAAAAATGTTTTCTTTTTTATCAAAATTTAGTAGCCACGCTAAGAAATATTCGTTAACGCTGTAAGAAAAATTAAGATTAAGAAAAAATGAATGTCAAAAGTATATTTTTTATATTTGTAAGAACGACATTTTCGTTGCGTCGTGTTTACAATTTAGTAGTCTCACGATGAAAACAGCACGCATACAAACAAGCGAAGCTTGTCCGTGTAGCGTCAGCAGTTAAATAGTTCCGGCATAGATGGAAAAATGTCTATACACAACGAACACTTTTAATAATCCTGTTTGCATAAAAAATTAATTCTGACATTTCGTAAAATTGACCTTATTAATAATATTAAATAATTTATTTTTTTGAAATTTTTTTATTGCACTTGAAATAAGTTTAAACATAATAAAAATTTTCTCGTAAGTGGAAATGAAATGGTGAGATTAGTATACAGGGTGTTCCAAAAGTATGAAAACTTGCAAATATCTCAAAAAGTACGAATTTTTGTAAAAAATGTTCAAGACAAAAGTTGTTCCAAACAAAAAGATGTACATCTTTGAAACCAAAAAATTGGGCCCGGAGCCCAATGTTGGGCTCTACAATGAAAAAAGTGGTTTTCTTAAATGACACCACTAATTTTCAGTATCAAATTCGTAATCCCCATGAAATTCTGTGTTCAGACATGTGGTATAAGTGCCCAAAATATTGGGCCCAATCTAAGATATTGGGTCCAAAATTTATCAACAGCTAAATAAATTTAAAAAATCGCATATTTAGGGGTTTTTGGGGTCACAGGATTAGAAATTCGAAGCTAATTTTCAAATTGTACACAAAGCCCAATGTAAGATTCCGCGGTCCAATGTGAAGCCCACATTAAAAAAAATTAGTTGTTTAAATAAAACCCACTAATTTTCAATATCCATTTCAGAATCGTTATGAAATTCTGGGTTTAGACTTGTAGTACAAAAGCCAAAAAATATTGAGCCCAATGTCTATGGGATTGAGCTCGACATTTTTTGATAAATTAATAAATTTATAAAATCGCATCTTTTGGAGTTTTTGGTGTCACAGGATTAAAAATTTTAAGCTACTTTTCAAATTAGGCACAGAGCCCAATGTAAGATTCCGCAGCCCAATGTGAGGCCTACAGTAAAAAAATTAGATTCCTTCCATTTCGTAATCGTTATGAAATTCTGGTCTTAGACTTGTGGTACAAATACCAAAAATATTGGGCCCTCACATTGGGCTGCAGAATCTTACATTGGGCTCTATGCTCAATTTAAAAATTAGCTTCCAATTTCTAATCCTGTGATCTCAAAATCCCTCCAAGATGCGATTTTTTAAAATTTATTTATCTGTTGATAAATTTTGGATACCCAATATCTTGGATTGGGCCCAATATTTTGGACACTTATACCACATGTCTGAACGCAGAATTTCATGGGGATTACGAATTTGATACTGAAAATTATTTTTCTCATTTAAGAAAATCACTTTTTTCATTGTAGGACCCAACATTGGGCTCCGGGCCCAATTTTTTGGTTTCAAAGATGTACATCTTTTTGTTTGGAACAACTTTTGTCTTGAACATTTTTTACAAAAATTCGTACTTTTTGAGATATTTGCAAGTTTCCATACTTTTGGAACACCCTGTATAAGAAAAATAAACTGCCCTCTTGATATCGTTGATATGAATTGTATTTGCGTTGCGTCGGTTAAAGCGAGCGTTTACCCTATCTGTATTTTAGGCGATTTTAGGTTAAGATGCGTTTATATATGTGATCTCTCGTTCATAGGTAAATTGGATTTCTACATTACTTGTCGATTGTCGATATATATACGTATATATGAGGTTTCAGATGGCAACTTTAGTAGTCAAGCTATTAAAAGCTAAATGTTTTTTTAGTGAATCTTCAGATTTTATTTTTTGATCGACTGTGTATTAAATTTTAAAATTCTCAACAATCAATTATTGTACGTCAGTAACTTTTTTCTGATTTTAATAGTCAGACTACGAATTATTAATATCTTTCCTTTTTTTCCGAGTTTGGTAAAAAGTTTACTAAAATCTCGTGGCGAGTTTAACACAAATTATT